AACCTCGCCGAGAGAGGAAAAGAAAAAGGGGGAGGAGAAGGAGGAGGGGAAAAAGGAGAAGGAGACGGAGGAAGGAGCAAGAGGAGACGACTAGTGCGGGATTTTCACGCACAAATCGAGTCGATGTGTCTCTTGACAGTACTCTTACGCCTGAAATTTGCTTTTTACCTGGCCCGCGCGCTCTCTTACTTTGAGAAAATAAAGGTGAGCAAAGTTTCAGGTGTGTGAGTGCGTTAAATTCGTCGTGCACCTTCCGTATGGACAATACAGACCCATACACACACACGAACTCTCGTGCGCGCTCGCCACAACGCAGTCGTGCTCACATCGTTTAAACCCATGCTCAATTCGCAATAGCTACTGAAGGCAGATCACAGTGGCTGCTAATTGAAGTCATTGTAATTTCACAACAGCGCGGAACAAAAGGATGTATGTATATCGATTGTTTCGCGATAATACAACGGCATTGTTCAATAAACGATTACGTGTATAGTACTTGCTTACCGTCACCGCATGAATAAGATAGCCGCGCCGAGGGGGATCAATCGAATTAATTAAATGGCGCAATGCTTTATTGCGCTTTAATTACTTTAATAAGTTTATTATGCGATAATTAGCCGAACTGTTCGAATGTTTCCGATACATGCTGTAATATATATATATATATATATATATATATATATATACATATATATATATATGAATTTTACGCATATATATACATATATATATTTATTTAAAAAGATATTGAAGTGGATGACGAACTCTAAAAGTGATAACATAGAAGGAGCCGCCAAAAAGTAGGAAATTTATTACCGGAGATGTCAATCAAATGCAATTTTTTTCATCAATTTATTCATATTTATGCGTTTTAAACTTTACATTTACATACAATTATTATATATTCCCCATTGCATTATTTTATATTGCGTTACATTGTAACACTGTTTTGTAAAATATATTTTACTAATCGTACTGCATCTTACGATATGTAGTATTAAAAAATAATTAAAAACAAAAATGCGTTTAAATATAAGTTTTCTTTCCATGTGTACTACTCTCTGTTACTCCACATACATATTGATGTACATATTCAAATACCAAAGAAATTAAAAATCTTCTAAATTTCCCGCCGCAATTTTGTGTTATCTCTTTGCTCATTATATATCTTTGATACAAAGCGCTAAAAAATCAAAGAAGCAAAAACCAAATTAAATAAAATGTGGTGCGAGTATTGGGTAAAACTTAATTTTATAGATACTAATAACTTGTGGTTCAAATCTCGGCTAACTTTTATCACCGACGAAGTAATACTAAAGACTGTCAGCATTGGATAAATTTTCGTATTGTCAGAAGGGCCTCAAAGGGCCCGGCGGTAATACAAGAATGATGACAATACCGACTGTTTTAGCCATTCTGAAGATAAAATATTTGTACTATACTGTATTTCGATTACCATAACGAAACAAATTACCAATGATACAATTACAAATACATTTTGAAATATAAATTGTTTCATTGGTTATTACAATATTTCTTAATCATTTTCCTCCGCGATGATTCGTCATGTGCACAACCGGCTTTAAGCCTCTCGTTTACGACAAGTTAGTTTAAGATCTACTAACCTTATAACTGTAACCAAAGTTTCCGTAACTGATTTCAGGACAGACACCGACGAGGTAATAATAAAGACTGTCAGCCCTGAGTAAATTTTCGTATTGGAATGGGAGTTCCGAAAACCCCGGCGGTAATTGAAAAATGAAGGCAATACCGACTGCTTTGGTTACGCCACCGACGAGACATTATTAAAGTAGCTACGATTTTTCCATATAAAGTGAAAAAAATGGTACATTTATATCTTAATAATTGTAGATAACAATATACGTGTCCATTCTATTTTATAATTTTATATTACTTTTCGCATACATTACTTCGTAATATAATAATAACATAAAAATATTACCTTTTCATTGTACTTAAAAAATCGAAAAATATTTATTGTATCCAATTATATATATATTCTATTGTTTATATATTATATTGTGTTATGTTGTATATGTATCAACACATGAAAAAAATAAATCCGTAAAAAATAAATATCATTCTGAAATATAAAATAAGATTATCTTATTTAAATACCCTTCCCCTTAAACCGTATCTTTAAGAATCTTATTCCTACTAAAAATAGCAATTCTTTAAATTTCCCGTTGTATATTTGTGTTACCTCTTCGGTCATTATATTCCTCTAATACAAAAAATGCGGAAATATGAACTTTTCATATCTTCGCTTTTCGCATTTTGTAACAGGAGAATATAACGACGGAGGAGGTATCCCAGATTCCAACGAGAAATTTGAAATTTCTCATTTTCTCGATTTTCGCACTTTGGAACAGGAGAATATAATGACCGAGGACGTATTCCGGATTCTGGCGCCAAATTAAAAATTTCTCATTTTCCGATTCTCGCACTTTATAACAGGAGAATATAACGATCGAGGAAGTATTCCGGATTCTGACGGGAAGTTCGAAATTTCTCATTTTCTCGATTTTCGCACTTTGTAACAGGAGAATATAATGATCGAAGAGGTATTCCGGATCCTGGCGGGAAATTAAAAATTTCTCATTTTCTCGATTCTCGCACTTCGTAACAGGAGAATATAATGATCGAGGAGGTATTCCGGATTCTGGCGGGAAGTTCGAAATTTCTCATTTTCTCGATTTTCGCACTTTGTAACAGGAGAATATAATGATCAAGGAGGTATTCCGGATTCTGGCGGGAAGTTCGAAATTTTTCATTTTCTCGATTTTCGCACTTTGTAACAGGAGAATATAATGATCAAGGAGATATTCCGGATTCTGGCGGGAGGTTCGAAATTTCTCATTTTCTCGATTTTCGCATTGTGTAACAAGAGAATATAATGATTGAGGAGGTATTCTGGATTCTGGCGGGAAATTAAAAATTTCTCATTTTCTCGATTCTCGCACTTTGTAACAGGAGAATATAATGATCAAGGAGGTATTCCGGTTTCTGGCGGGAAGTTCGAAATTTCTCATTTTCTCGATTTTCGCATTTTGTAACAGGAGAATATAATGATCGAGGAGGTATTCCGGATTCTGGCGGGAGGTTCGAAATTTCTCATTTTCTCGATTTTCGCATTGTGTAACAAGAGAATATAATGATCAAGGAGGTATTCCGGATTCTGGCGGGAAATTAAAAATTTCTTATTTTCTCGATTCTCGCATTTTGTAACAGGAGAATATAATGATCGAAGAGGTATTCCGGATCCTGGCGGGAAATTAAAAATTTCTCATTTTCTCGATTCTCGCACTTCGTAACAGGAGAATATAATGATCGAGGAGGTATTCCGGATTCTGGCGGGAAGTTCGAAATTTCTCATTTTCTCGATTTTCGCACTTTGTAACAGGAGAATATAATGATCAAGGAGGTATTCCGGATTCTGGCGGGAGGTTCGAAATTTCTCATTTTCTCGCTTTTCGCATTGTGTAACAAGAGAATATAATGATCGAGGAGATATTCCGGATTCTGGCGGGAAATTAAAAATTTCTCATTTTCTCGATTCTCGCATTTTGTAACAGGAGAATATAATGATCAAGGAGGTATTCCGGTTTCTGGCGGGAAGTTCGAAATTTCTCATTTTCTCGATTTTCGCGTTTTGTAACAGGAGAATATAATGATCGAGGAGGTAATCCGGATTCTGGCGGGAAGTCCGAAATTTTTTATTTTCTAGTTTTTCGCACTTTGTAACAGGAGAATATAATGATCGAGGAGGTATTCCGGATTCATAGTCAGGCCTTATATTTGAGACCTCCTTATATCTATCTTTAGATGCTGCACGGATAATTTTATTGGCTACAGACCATCTGAAGATAAACTTAAGGAAGTCTTAAATATAAGGCCTGACTTTTTATTTTCTTTTTTGGTAACGCAGGGGAAATCCTTCATGGATACCGCCGATCTTTGGGGGGCCGGGGGTTATGTCGGACTCTTACCGATTAAAACCCCTACGGGATGTCTGCTATTCGGACTGTTGTGAGGGATGTTAGGGGAACTGCTCCCGCATTTCCTCCCTAACACCCCGGCCCCAGGGCTCTCCGGAAGCCCCTCGCCTTGAGTACCGCACCCCGTCCCACCAAGGGAGCCCGGGATACGGTCCCCCGACCGAATCCCCGGTCGGGTTGACCTTCTGGTTTTATCTTAGGGGGAAGGGACATCCACCCTCCCCCCGCACCCCCATTACTCCCCTTCTAGGAGGAGGATATAGGGGAGTGGAGCCATCCCCAACTGGACATCCACTCCACTTTTTCCCTGAACTTACCGACGCACGGGGAGGGCGAGCGGGCTCACTCACCCACCACCACCCCTCCCCGGCGTGTCCGGAGTCGGGCCCGAGGTGGCCGACGGGGTGGCCTCCGGTTGACCGATGGCCGCTCAATATAAGGCCTGACTATGAATATGAATGTAAAGGGCCAGTGCACAAACTTCTGCATAACGCATAATACACAATGCATAAGAGAATCAACCAATCAGAGTTCTTCATTTCTATCTTGAGGAGGGAAATGAAGGAAACTAATAAAGCCGGCGGCACACAATATACTGCGTTCTGATTGGTACATTTCCGAAGATGGATGGAAATGCACCAATCAGAACGCAGTATTTTCATCCAGCAAGCAATCCAGCACGAAAACAAGCACCATGTGCCGCTGGCTTTAGTTTATTCTCTTATGCGTTATGTATTATGTGTTATGCAACAGCCTGCGCTCTTGCTCAAATTCTACAAGGCATCGAAACAAGGCAAAGATACAAATGTTCGTGTTATCTCCGGTGTAGTTGAAACAGTCGATATTATCATGACTCTTGAATTACCTTCAGGCCGTTCGGTTTCATATTCCAGCCACGATATTCCTAAGAGGACGTTAGCGCTTAGCGAGATTTCTCTGGTATTCCAAATCCCATATGGTCAACAGTCTTTATTAGTGTCTGGTCGATGGAACAGATCTCTAGTTATTTTTCGGTGAGCAGACGACGAACGGCCATTTTTCAGGAAGTTTTGTGAAGAAGGTTCAGTGGTTTTTAACGACGAACATGATTAATTCAGTAAGCATGTTCACCCGTCAAGTGGTTAGAAGGTTTACAACGAGTGCGGTTCGCAGGAGTGGTCATCATGATCCTTATGACGGTATTCCTGGACATGTAAGTGATATTTTTTCTTAGATTGCATAACATCCCGATGGAACCACTACGTCTTTCTTAAACCTTCTTTACAGAACATGCCATTCAGCACTCAGAACAGACACAAATTGTTGGCTCTGTTTATGATCTACCTCGGCAGTGGATTCTCCATTCCTTTCTTAATAGTCCGCCATCAATTGCTGAAGTAAAGTTTTGGTATGTTAACTTTTGCTAAATACTTTATTTCTTAAATCTCTTTCGAGTCACGCATGATACAAAATGTTCTGTTCACAGTAATTATTCTTTTATAGATTTGTTACAATAATTATTTTGTTTACAGATTAGCAAGCTGTGCGACTCTAGTATCTTTTCGTGTTGTCAATGTTGAAGAATTGTTGGACTAGCGAAAGGATTACCGTAATAGGAAATATGTAATGAAAAATCTTTAACAACATTAAATCATTACTCATTTTTGACTTGAATCTTTATTAAAAATATACATTGCACTAACTTTTGTCTATAGATTTTAATTTTACGATCTTTCTAATACTAGATGTCTACTCATCACATAAGAAGTTATTACTTGGTAAATCATTAATTAAATCTTTATCAGTGATGGAAAAATAATATACACGCTTATTTCAGAAATGTGTATAGTTGCACAAATATGTTTGCATCTATGTACTATATAGGTAATATCTAATCGTAATGTATATTCTCTGTATATAGTAGGCATCTGATAATTAATTAAAAAAACGCACTATTTAAGCTAGATATAATTAGCCATTAAAATTATACATGCAGTCCCATGGATGTCACATACGTCTTAGGAGTTAGGAGTTATGTCTAGAGTATTTGTACAAAATTCACTTAAGCTACGTTTTCGCTGCATCTCATATTTGTCATGCGATTCTTTGCGTCATCATGCATCGTGTATCACGTGTCAAAATCACGCTCAGGCAGACGGGGTCCTTTGCGATGCGACTGCTCCGGGTAATCTGCATAGAATTGATAATCATTGTACCTGACTTTCATATGCAGACGAGAGTTCAGAGAGAAGATTATTTGGTACACTGCAGAGGCTTACGATTATTATAATCCTCATGAGACCGATAAGAATCGAGGTAGTTGATCGGCGTATCCATTAAGCGATGCGATCTCCATTCGTCTTCGTGTATCTGTAACGATAAGAGATAAAGAATTACTTTTGAGCGCTAACACAACTTTTGGTCGCGCGGCGAGGACGGTTTTCAGAGATATAAGAAAGTAATTCGTTGGACGCGTCTTACGTTTTTACTAGCTCGTGCCTTTTCACATCTCTTCTCGCTCTGCTTTCGACGTTTTCTATTTACATTGTCCTTCCCTCGTTTCTTCTTAGCCCTATATTCCCACCGCTGGTCCTCATCTTCACTAACGTCCCTAATTAACGGTTTCTCCTCCACGAGACTCTGTAAGACAGAAATACAGAATCTTGTATTTTGATGAGCTTGTCTCTTCCTTTTTATAAACTAAAGTGCCAAGCTGTAACGTCTACCTCTTGCTGAAGTGCGTCTTCACCGGATATAACGCCGATTATTCGCTTTGCGCACAATTTCTTTTTCGCGCAGCAGATCAGCCATAAGAACAGTAGGAATACCGACACCAACACGCTAAGGCTCGCCAGAGTCACCATCACGGTGGAGAATGAATTCCAAAGCTGCGACAGGACAACGCGTACTAAGCTTAAAATGGTGCTGCTGTTATACTTCGCGAAATAATTCACGGTATATCTACGAAATATTATTCTTCTTATTTCTTCCTATTTTTAGTCTCACGCTTCTGACACATAATTGTCTTTTTTTCTAGATCTGGAATCTATCACTCTGGAAAGATCTACATATTGTAAGATGGATTTTGGTTCAATGTCGCATTCTACTCTGCTAAATAAATAATCCCCGGTACATCTACGAAATATTGTTCAGAGAGCAACAGGCTCCTGCTTTTTCTCATCTCTCTAACGCATAGTTGCGTTTTAGGGTCCACGTCCTACAAGCCGGATCTTAGGCGTCGGGGTGTTCGTACCATGTTGTGACAACCCCTCGTCAACGGGCTAGTGCACGTGCGACAAACCCTGGCGCCGTGATTGGGCTGGTAAGTGCCGGGCGGACATCTTTTGCAGCGCGATATCCCGTCCTCGCTGTAAGTATCCACGTCGCAAGGAACTGCACAAGTTCAGTGGTTCGTTGCATTATATTCGTCACACTGCTGTTCGTCGAACGAGCCGCGACTCACGTACCACAATGCGTACCACGAAGACCGTAGCCGGCCGGGCAGCTGGAAAATAAGCCGATGTCGTTGGCGAATCCATCGGCGGACGCGCTCTCGTCACTTCTGCCTCTTCTTCGTCTCGCGAGCGACGGCCTATCCGCGATCGGCGCCAGTCTCTGCTCGTAACGGGGTAATCTGAAAATAACTGTAGTTAAAGAACTCTATAGAGAGATGCTATTGTGAATCGCAGACGCATATACACACGATAGCAGAATTGTAAAACTCCCAAGCGGAGCGGAACATCACGGTGGCGTCAAAACGATGAACGACGGTGAAACTTCACCATGACTCGGTCATTTTTCTGACGTTTCATTTGTGATGCATTCGTGATTTCCCGCTTTACCTAAGAGTAAGTTGCGACCGAATCGAAGAGAGTACGCGTGTAAACTAACTGGTTTTCTCGAGGAAGACCTGCAGGTTTCTGCTTAGTATCAGCGAGAGTTTGTCTTGAATGGCCTTGAGGCAGAAGATGTTGCAGTGTTTGTGATCGATCGTCGTGAGTTTCACGATGTGCGACGGCGCTATCAGGACATTCATCGTGATCTGTAACGAGAATCGGCACATTCTCTCATTGGGAGACTTTTTCGCGCGGAATATAATATCAAGGGAGAACTTGAAAATTCATCGGACTGTCGATGATTTCCGTTCAGTTAGTATTAACGAAAAATATGATTAAAAATCCGACGAATTTTCACGAGCTCTTGGACCTATAATATAAAAGGACTTGCTTGACTGCGGGAGCAGGACGGTGTGAGAACATAAGCATTGCAGATGTCTGCCTCGCACAGGACATTATTCAGTTTCAACGGAAGATACGTCGTCAGCGCGTCCAGACCTCTCTCGTCGCAGAATCGCACTCGATAGCGAGCCTCGCCGTGTAGAATGTACCTCGGCAGCGTCACGACTGTGGGAAAAGATAAAAAATGAATGTCCTGCAAGGCCGCCAAAAAATGCCAGTGCGACGGGTTGAGTCGACGACTCAATGTTTCTTACCTCGCAGGCGAACCTCGTAAGCGGCCTCCACGGGCTCCTCGTTGTCAGCGCCCATGTACGTCATGACGCACGTGTAATTCCCCGTGTCTTTAGCGTTCACGTTGCGTAATTCCAAATCGCCGTTCTCCGCTACGAAACCTGCGGCAAGAAGTCCATTCAGGACGTACCTGATTTCTATTGTTCTCCTCTCCAGCACCGTTTCTCACCATAAAGCGCGATACCATCCGCCCGCTTCCACGTGTAACTCGGCCTGCTGACGCTCGACAGCCAAGTGATTCCGTCGCCTTCTCGGTTACAGGGCACGTTCAGGTTAAGACCTGGCAGCGAAATGATGTCGCGATCTACGGGAAGAAGAGAAAAACTGAAGAAAGACGTTTCTGTGGAAAATGACCAGTTTATCGTCGACAGAAATATTAGATTAAGCCGAACGTTTCGTTCGATATTCGCCAAGAGCAAACAGTAAGATACCGTTCTCGAGCACCAGCTCGTTCCTGGGATCGCCCTCGAGGTCCTCCGGCTTGATGTACTTTTGGCCCTTGAGCGACCCGGTGTTGTAACGCGGCTGCGGAAACATCCTGGCGTCCTCCTCCATGTCGGAGTCCAGTGAGATCACTATTTTGTCCTGGGTCTCTTTGCACCTGCTGCAATTGAGCGCTCTGATTTCGTCCAAGGGATAACTCAGTCTGTTCAAGATGGACTTCACGTGCGTGATCACGTCCATGACGTCGCAGATACAATCCGCGCAACCGCGCGATTGCGCCGCGACTTCGTCTCTATGGCCGATGACCGCGGCATTTCTCTCGTCCTTGCTGATCCTCGCTCGAGTGTGGCGATCCACGCTCGCTTTCATGATCGTACCCTTGCGTTGATCCGAATTTTTTTTACTCGCCACGCAGCTGTCAGACGCGCGAACTCGCGGAGCGTGCGGTCCTTGCGACTTGCTCGCTTTCGCTTCTTGATCCTTGCGTTTGGTATTTTTGATATGCGTGTGTTCAGCAGCTCGATGCTTCGACTTGCCCTCATTGATCGCGCACAACCTGCGACCTTTGATCATCGTCGGGAGCTCATTACTGAGTCGCGGTGCCTTTTTCTTCTCGACACTCCTTTTCTTTCTCAGTTTCTTCTCGCGCGACGGACGCTCGCTCGTTGCGTCCTTCAGGAAGTTACCTCGTTGTGCACCGACTGTAGGCGCAAAAGAACGAAGACTGCCTTCACAACGACGTTGCGCATCGCGCTTCGTTCTCGCGCGGTTTCTTCTGTTCTTGAGGACGACATAGAGACACGTCGTTCTGCTGATCGACAAGTCGATAGCTTCAGCAGCAGTAGCGGTGGTGGCACCAAATACATCCGTTGTCTCCGTCACTTGGGGCTCGAGCTCCCAGTATCTGGTGTCACCCAAGTGGTACGTCGTGCTTTTCTCTGTGGGCCACGCTTGATCCATTAGTTTTTTCTGCTTCCCTACCAATATTCCACGTTTGCTCGGATCGACTAAGATCTTCTCCATCGCCAGTGTCGATGTCTTCGCTCGACCTACAGTGTAATTCGATTATCTCATCCATTTATTATAATTCATTTAACAACTAAAGGAAAACCAAAGCAAGAAACAAGGAAAAATGGAAGGAGGAAAGATAAAAGAAGACGACAAGAAAAAAAAAGAAAAAGGAACAAGAGGGAAAAATATTCAACACTATTATTACATCCAAGAAAAAAACCCATAAATAAGTGAAAAAATAAATAAAAAGTAATTAAATTAATCTTCGTAAAAACTAAAGTCTAAATTTGTCGCTTCTTCTTCTTCTCTTTGAGAAAAGTCGAGCTTTCCTATTTGCCATCGTGTTCTTACCATAATCATCTTCGTCTGCTTCTTCTTCTTCTTCTTCTTCCTCTGCTTCCTTTTCGATTTCTTCCATTTTCTCCGACAAATAATTTTTTCTCCCTTCCGTATCATCCTTATCTCTAAACTGGTAATATGGTTTGGTGACTTTGTGAACTTCTCCGAAATCAACGACGCGATCGAGATCCTCGTTTCCGTCACCTTCGTACTCTTGTTCGTTGCTCGACTCGGACGTAACCGCCGTCGTTTCATCTGGTTCTTCGTCCCACCCAACGGACGTTGTCCGATGCGTCTCTTCGTCTTCGTTGTACTTCATACGCAGCACCTTCACCGTATAAGATTCGTACTCGTCTTCGTCGGGTCTCTTCTTAGTTATCGAAGTATCGGCGATCATTACTTCGTCATTCCTACCAGACAGGTCACTTTCTCTTTTACAAATCGGGTTACCCCCCGGAGGAGCGCATCTTTTCTTGCATCCTTCACCACCCGACATCGCCGTAGTGATCGCTTGAAAGGGAATCTCGTGTCGATCGAGGACACGTTGTTCGTACGGGGAAGTTATAGCTCGAGGACCGTCATCGTTTCCTCGCGCACTGCCAATAGGCACAGCGTTCTTCGGGGAAATTCTCCTTGCGACCTGGTACATTCTGGTGAAACTCTTGAAGTGCCTCAACGACTTCGTAGTTTCCCTACTCAGCCATTCGCGATGCGACAACTGCGGATTCTTGACCTTAGAAGCGGCCCTCATTATCCTTCGATTTTTTCTGCGCCGCAGGTGTGGCGGAAAGTTCAACTTCGACCTGTCGATCTTTCTCGCAGCGTGGAAAGCGAGAATCTTCCTACCTAATCGACCAATTGACCTCTTCGGCTCCTTCTTCTCGGGGAAATACGGCAGACAAATCTTCCTCGTCATCACGTCTCGTCGACCTTTCTCGTAAGGAATCGTCGTGTTCGCCAGAACATTCAGACATATCCTCTTCGTCACAATTTCTACTTCCTCCTCAGGAACGTACTTGGTTCGTTTCCTTTCCTCAGTCACTCTCGTGGTCTTCCGTCGGGGTGTTACCGTCATCTTCGCCGTTGGCACACCAACTCGCGTGGTGACTTCTGCAATGGTGAGCTTCTCCGTCGGCGGCACCGGTGTCGTTAAACTTATCGACATCGTCGATTCTTCGGACAACGCGATCGATGTGTCGATCTCTTCGCTCTCCAGTTCCTCCATGTACTTCTCGAACTTCTTTATGTCTTCCTCCAGTCTCCGCTCCCTCTCCAGTAACATCTTTTCTCTCTCTTCCAGGTCGCGTTCCTTCTCGCGCAATTGCTTCTTCAGGTTCTCTATCTCTTCGTCGTACTCACCTTCTGCACCAGGGATTGAGATCACGTCGGTGGATGTGTTCTTCTCTGTGGTGTAAATCGCTGTTGCTTCGGTCCCAGCTGCGGTGGTCTCGGCCAAACTGCTGCTCAATGTAATAAACGTCGTATCGAGGACAGGAGACGGAATCTCGAGAATGCTGACAGTTGACATCGTCAAACTTTCTGTACTGACAGCTTCTGTGTCGATCGGAGTGATCGTAGTCGAAACGATAGGCGTGACTGCGGTTATGGCTTCCTCTTCTTCTTCTTCCTCACGCTGCTTCATCTTCTCTTCACGTCTCTTCTTTTCTCGGTCCCATTGCCACTCCTTCTCCTTCAGTCTCTCTTCTCTCTCCGCCATCTCCTTCTCATGACGCTTCAGCTCGTCCAGCTGCTGCAGCAATCGTCTCTTCTGCTGCTCTCGTACCACATCCTCTCCGATCTTGCTCATCGTGATGAGCTCAGCTTCAACTTCTGTCACGGTGAATGAGGTAGGTACCGTGATGGGATGTGGCAGAACGCTTTCAGTCGTGAACTTCATTGTGTCCGTATATGTAGTGGTGGTGGTAGTCTCGATGTCGGAAATTGTACTTTCCTCTATGATAGACGTTGTCTTCGGCGACTGGGTGGTGACTTTGTACTCGGTGGTCTCTATCTCCGAGCTAGGGACCACAGAACTCACGGTTGTCACGTCCATCAGTTCTTCCTCCGAGAACGTCGTGAACACCGGCGAGACAAAGACGAAGGTTGACTTTTCCACGGGAACTTTGGTCTCCGTCGAGACACGCTCCGAAGTTGTCTTCTCCAAGCCGACTTCCCGCTCGGGAATCTCCTCAGGCTTCGTGACGGGTTCCAGCCAGTCAGGCTCTACGTACGTGTATTTGGGAGGGATCGTCAGACTTTCCAGCGGTCTCGTCGTAATCTCGAGAACTGTCGAAGGCGGAAGAGTGTATTCTTCCGTAGAGCCGAAGGTTGCAGTCGTCGAGGTTTCTTCCTCTTTGCTTGCTACGCTGAACATCGTAGACTCAGTAGATTCGGTAGTTTCCGTTGTCAGTGTCTTCGCCTTTTCCATCACGGTGGTCGTTTTCAAAGAGATAGTTGAGGTAACTTCTTCGTCGACGTACGTACGACGAGGTGTTCTTGAAATGATCGAGGTTACACCGATCGTCGTCGCGGTCTCGGAGATTGTCGGGGATGTCGTGAACTCGGGAGTTTTGCTTTCATACGGTGATGTTGTAGTTTCGACAAGAAGTGGCGGACTCGTCACTCTTTCTTCAGGTAACTCCGTGTAGCTCACTGTGCTGGATGTAACGGTTGTTCTCTCCTTCGTCGTGCTTTCGTACTCGTCATAGTAATACCATCTGTCGGTCGGGATTGCTGTGTCGCACTCTCCAACTTTTTCTTCATCTTCGTACTGTGACTCTAATGCTTTATCTACGTAATATTCTGTTTCGACTTCAGGCGTTACTTTAGTAGCCGTGAGCGAAGTTGAAGTCGCGAGGAAGACTGTCGTTTCGATCGATGATGTGGGCCTCTCAGTCGTGCTCGGTACTGTTGTAAACTCCGTCTCTGAGGCAGTCTTTGGGAACACTGAAGTAACTTCTGGAGTAATTACGGGCGTTTTCGTCGTAATCAATGTCGACTCGGTAAGTAGAGTGGTCGTTTCGGTGGTTGGCTCGGCGATTTCTAGAGTCTCTTCATATTCTGCTCGCTCAGTAGTTGATAACATGGTAACAATAGTTGTGCTTGTTTCTGCTGTTTCTGTGACAGTCTCCGGTGAAACTGTAGAAGTCGTCGCGACTTCTGTCGCATTAACTATTGTCGGTGCAAAAGTGGTACTTGTGGTGATAGTTTCTACTTCAGATGCAGTGCTTCTTTCAGTAGAAGTCCACGCAGCTTCGGTGGATGTTGGTGTTTCTTCAGTCGATGATGTTGTGAAGGTGGCAGCGGTAGTCTCTTCTTCGGTTGACGGAGTCTCTTCGGGTGTTGTAGTAAAATTGGCAATGGTAACTTGTTCCGTCGTTGATGTTGAGGTTTCTTCAGTTATCATGGTAGACGTGATTGTGGTTGGCGTTATTGCGATAGTAGAGGTAAAAGGTGAAGTAACCGTCTCGTTTACAAGTGACGTTTCTTCGGTGATGATCGAAGTCGTAATGCTTTCTTTCTCCGTCTCAGCTGTACTCGCAGTCATCGTTATTTCTTTTTCTGTACTTGTTTCAGGGTATTCCTCAGGGTATTTTTCAAGGGTCGTTCCAGTGGCTGTTGTGATAATCGTTGAGACTGGAGCTTCCGTGATGAGAGGCGTAGTGAAATTCACGAAGGGAAACATTGTACCTTCAAGACTCTCCGTTGTAATTATACTTGCAGTTGTACGGGAAACTGTTGCATTCATGGTCGTATCCGTTATGATGGGCGATATGGTCGGGCTTGTTTCAGTAAGTACCGTTGTAGGAATCATTGATGTGGTTGTTGTAGTTTCAAGTCTTTCAGTCGGAGACGTCGTCGTAATAGTTACCACCGGAGAAGTTGTACTTTCAGTCGTTTCTGTCGAAAATGTACTGAAAGTTGTGGCAGAAATGGTAGTCGATTGAGTTTCAGTGATCGTAGAACTTTCTGCAGTTGTTGATACTTCGGTACTAGTTGTTGGACTTTCGATAATCGTTGAAGTCTCGGTAGCATTTAAGGTTTCGGCAGTGGCTGGAAATTCTGCAGTTGTTGGAATTCCGATAGTAGTGATTGAAATTTTAGTAGTTGTACTTTCTGTTGTTATTGGACTTTCGGAAGTTGTAAACATTTCGGTAGTAGTTAAAAGTTCAATAGTTGTAGGAGTTTCGGTAGTAGTTGAAGTTTTTGTAGTTGGGATTTCGATTGTAGTAGTTGGAATTTTAGTAGTTGCACTTTCTGTTGTTATTGGACTTTCGGAAGTTGTAAAAATTTCGGTAGTAGTTAGAAGCTCGATGGTTGTCGGAGTTTCGGTAGTAGAAGTTTTTGTAGTTGGGATTTCGGTTGTAGTGGTTGGAATTTTAGTAGTTGAACTCTCTGTTGTTATTGTACTTTCGGAAGTTGTAAAAATTTCGGTAGTAGTCAAAAGCTCGATGGTTGTGGGAGTTTCGGTAGTAGTTGAAGTTTTTGTAGTTGGGATTTCGATTGTAGTAGTTGGAATTTTAGTAGTTGCACTTTCTGTTGTTATTGGACTTTCGGAAGTTGTAAAAATTTCGGTAGTAGTTAGAAGCTCGATGGTTGTGGAAGTTTCGGTAGTAGAAGTTTTTGTAATTGGGATTTCGGTTGTAGTGGTTGGAATTTTAGTAGTTGAACTCTCTGTTGTTATTGCACTTTCGGAAGTTGTAAAAATTTCGGTAGTAGTCAAAAGCTCGATGGTTGTGGGAATTTCGGTAGTAGAAGTTTTTGTAGTTGGGATTTCGGTTGTAGTGGTTGGAATTTTAGTAGTTGAACTCTCTGTTGTTATTGCACTTTCGGAAGTTGTAAAAATTTCGGTAGTAGTCAAAAGCTCGATGGTTGTGGGAGTTTCGGTAGTAGTTGAAGTTTTTGTTGTTGGGATTTCGATTGTAGTGATTGGAATCTTGATAGTTGTTTCTCCTGTTATTGGAGTTTCGGAAGTTATCAGAGTTTCAGTGGTCAAGACTCCGATAGTTGTTGGAGTTCTGATAGTGATTGGGATTTTAGTGGCTGTAGTTTTTGTCATTGTTGTAATTGCAGCAGTTCTTGCAGCGGTTGGAACTCCGGTGGTTATTAGAGTTTTGATCGTTGTCGGAATTCTTGTGGTAGTTTGAATTTTTACAGTTGTTGGGATTTTTGTAGTTGTTGGAACTTTAGTAGTTTTTCGAATTTCTGTAGTTGTTAAAACTTTGCCTTTGGTAATTAGAACTTTGATAGTTGTTGGAGTTTGAGTAGTGACTGGAATTTTAGTGATTGCTGTAGTTTCTATTTTCGTCGGTATAGTTCCAGCGATTGTAGCAGTTGGAGTTTCACTAGTTGTTACAGTCTCAGTAGTTATTATAGTGGTCGGAGCTTCGGTAGTCGTTGGACGCTCCGTAGTTGTCATTTCCTCCGCAGTTATAGTCTTCTCAATCTGCGTCACCGGACTCTCTTCTTCCTCAGGTGTCAAGAAGCCCAAAGTAGTCGCTATTGTCTCCATCAATGTATTAAAGATCGTTTTATTAGTCTCCGTAATTGTAAACAAACTTGCAGTCGTCGTTTCCGTCGTTCCTTTCTCAGTAGTCACACTTTCAACTATTGAAGGTGTCGTCTCGTATGGAAACTGAGTAATCGCGGAAATCGTAACTTTCAAAGTGGTACCGGCCGTCGTTTCGACAGTGTCTTCGATCTCAGCAGCCTTTTCCGTTACACTTGTAGTTTCTTCCATGTACTTATACCAATATGTGGCGTTTGCGTCTTCGTACATTTTCGTGTAGTTCTGATTATCGTAATCGTCGATGTCTGCATAGTACTTGAACTCGGTAATATAACCCGTCTCATTCTCACGTGGAGTCAGTTCAGTCACTTCTTCTGGAAGCTCCTCCGATGTTGTTACACTCGAAGCGGTCGTTGCTTCCTCCGCGAGGCGAGGCGAGAATACGTCAGCAAATTCCGTCGTCAACAGTGATAACGGCTTCGGGACAGCCGGTGTGATCAAGTCAGCAACGGTCGGGTACTCCGTGCGAGGCTCCTCAGTCATGTTTAACAATCGGAGGACGTCCAAATAAGCCGTCGCTTCGTGGTAGAACTCCAGCTCGACGGGGCTATATGTCTCTCTCAAGGTCGTACTGCTCGTGCTGTATCGCTCCAGGTCTCTCTTGTTGTTCGACCAGAGGTACTCCGGGTTATCCTCATCGTTATGCGACATCGCGACCCTCATAGGGCTCGACACCTCCTTTTCCAACCCGAACTCGACTGGTCGTTGAGCCGGCGCCACCCGCGCCTCGAGACTCCTCGTTAGGGACTTCAAGTTCCTGTTCAGCCTCAAGCGAGGCGAATCGAGAGTGAATTCTGGAAATGTCCTCGATTCCCCGAAGGAATCTCCTCGCGTTGCCGAGTCACTGAACGAGCTCGTGTGTCTGCGCGACGGTGTAGCCAATTTATTCAGGAACAAAGAACGGCTGTTGGATCTTTTTCGCAACTTCGTACTATCAGTTTCCTCACCCGACGCGACGCTTCCGCTTTCGATGGACTCTTTCCTGCGGGATTTCCGACCGAGATCTTTCGTGAGCAAAGCAGCCTCGTGATGACTCGCGCCATCGATCGCGACATTCGTGGCTCTCGTCTCTTCGTTATTCTCTTCTGATCCCGTTGATTCGACGGAGTTTTTTTTACCGCACAGCCTACTCTGCACGTCGCTGATACTCTGGTTGACCAATTGAACGGCGTTCAGCAACCTGTGTAGCTCCGAAGACAATGGCTCGATCGCCGTTAAGAGAGCGCGCGAACTCTCCATCTCGCTCTGTCCTTTCTTCGATGACCGCTCTTCAGCATCGGCGAATATCGACATGGACGTTGTGTGCTCTTCGAGATCACCGAACGAGTACGCTCCGGTGGCGTACTCGCCGAGCGACCCTTTATCGTCATCAGTTACGTTCTTTCCGGCGTCTCCCAGCGTGTTGACGTCATCATCCAAAGTATTAAGAAATTGTAAAACATCCACCGTGCTCAAGCCGACATCTTCGTCATATTTTGAAGATTCCCCGTGATCTTCGTTCGATCCAAGCCGACCGGTCTCGTACGACTTGGTTGCAGGGAAGATATCCGACTGGCGATCGTCTGAATATAAAGACACGTCGTAACCAAACGTATCCAAGGTGGAGGACGACGACGAGAACTGGGGCTGACTGTAGGAACCGATTTCAACGTCCACGTCGAGCCCACCGTCTGTAGACAAGATGTTCCTGTAATCCGCAGCTTCAGGAACAATCTGCTGGTCGGGCACTTTAGACACGGCGTCGATTAAGTCAGGATAAGACCAAGAGGAGACCCCCGGGTACAAGAAACTCGGATATGATGGTGGCGTGGGGTCTCTGCGCTCCTCCTGGAAGATGTCGAAGTCCGGGTGATATTCAGGTAAACGGTGCTGGTTTCTTAATAGACGTCCTCGAAGATACGCTTTGCCTACATCCTTTGCGTCGTGATGCAGGTGCGCCTTGAACGCGAGAACAGCCGAGGTCGCGTTGTCGCCGTTCACGGCCGCTCGACGACGGGAGTCCTCGTCGGCGTCCTGCAGTATGTATAGGTCCTTCGACACCGGCACCAGCAGGAATTTCCTGAAGGAGCTCGCGTGAGGATGATTATCGTCAACTTGCGACTTCTCAACACCGTGCGAACTCGTTGGACTTCCTCGAGGATCAGGAACAGGACCGGACAGCTTCGGCGAGTACGCGTCGGCGAGACGATAGACGGGGACGAGTACTCTTTCGATCGGTTTCCCGGACAGCGGGCTTCTCGCACGGTCGGTGTTTCCAGGTTCGACGATTGACGACTGGGAGTCTCGGGATCGGGAAAACGCAGGATCTCTGTCGATAACGTCGGCGTACGTGTCCGGGTAACTCAGGACGTACACGGGCTTCCTCGGCGAAGAAACGGTTCTCGATTCATGTCGACTTTGCCTCTCGCCGATCCTCCATTCATTTGTGCGAGTCTCCGAAAGTAGTCCCCGTGGATTTGAGTATGCGAGAGGAAGAGTCGCTTCGTGAATTCGCGAGGATCGAGCGGAATCAGAATTCTCCGGGTTGTCCATCCGAGCGACCGTCGGAGTCGTTGATTCTGGAACTTGCCAGACAGGAAGTCCTCTTGATGCCACCATGTTGGACCAGACATCGTCCGCGTCGGTGTCGTCGTCGTTGTCTTCGAAATCATTCCGACGACGTGCGACTTCGTCGTTCGAGTTTCGCGCACGTCTCGTCCTTCTTCGTGGATTTCGTCTGACGCGCGTCGACTTGCCGGTTGGGACTCGTCCGGTTTGCAGAAAACCGTCGATGCGATTCACTAATAAGGATTGTTTGCTGCGTTTGATCGTCTTCTGAGTCATTCCATCGTCGACAGCCACCTCGGGCACTTGGCTCCCTGTTGCCCGGGTCTTCTGCTTGAGGATGTACTTCACGCTGTTCCCTGCGGATGTTGGGAGAGAAATTTCGGGGAAATTCTTCCAGCGCCGAGAAGTGGCAAACGAATGCGACCGAAAAGCATTTTGTTCGCTAACTCCGAATTACTCAAGAGTTATTTAAGATATGAATTTCTTCTGTACAATTGAATGCCTCAAGCGCAAAGTTACATCGAATATTTCCTTACACGGTAAGTCCAAATTCAAGAGCAAAGTCGCGAAAAAGAACGAAGGACGTGACGACGCATTTTTTAACTCCTAACTCTAAATAAAAAATTATTTTACATTATCAAGATATATACTTTTTTGTACAATTAAATTCTTCAAGCCAGAAAAGTTACATTGAATATCTCCGCACGATAAACCTGAATTTCACGAACAAGATTTCGTTCCATCAATCCCGCAAGGAGATGCTCATCGAGCGAAATTAAACTTGATATCGTCAAGTGACCTCGTTTCACGTCCGTCAAAGTAATTACCTGGTATCGTCGCGGTGATACCGCCGGCCGCAATTCTCGCCGCGTAAGCCGCAGCGTAAAACACGACGAGAAGGATAATTCGCATAGCGTCATATCACGGGCATTCTTAGGGGCGGTCGTGTGCTCGCGAATCGTGCGTGTCGTCGCCGTTATTTCGCACGAATCTTCCATGGAGCATCACCGGTACCTTACAGGAGATACACCTGTCGGAGGAGAGGAATGCTCGCACTGCGTTGACAGAGATCCATGAAGCTCGCGAGGATCGACGGAATGCCGATCCTCGATAAAATTGACAAACGCGAACAAACCCCGACGATATATACATATCTAAAACTTTTGCAAATTCTTAAGAATATAACATACTCCGAACAATTAAAATAATATACGGTGCATTCGGCATGCTCTTTCAATGGCAGTTCCCTCAAGATGTTCATTGAGGAGGTCATATACGTCTCTCTTTAACACGGCTTTAACTCTGACTCAAGAATTGCTGTATCACGTAATTCAAGGACGCGCCTCCGAGACTTCGTAAGGACAATTTTCCAGGCTTCTACAAAATCGTTTTATACACGATCCCCCATCAATCTCGTCAGTAAGAAATTTCTTTTATCGGGAAACAAATAGCGCGATATATTTACAGAGATATACTGTTCATTCGTCGCCCGCCTTAGCAGCTCGTCAGCGCAATCAGCTGATTTTGAAGGTCGATCGCTATCGGCTAACTTTAAATGTCACAAACAGATGTTCCTCGTCCCGGCCCGGTGAATCAACGGAACTTCGCGAGGTAAGAGGCAAAAACGCGGGAGATGAGGTTCTGACTGACGAAGTCGGGATCGGAGATGGAGTTGACTGACGTGCACGGAAGATATGCAGAGTACACGACACCAACGAGGAGTGCTGTGTGAGCGGAATTATGCGCGGTGCTCGTGGCTAATAGAGAGTTCACTTATCCTCCTTGTGTGCGCGAACAAGTTGATGATTATGTCACAAGCGATCACGATTTGATATTCGCCAAGATATCACGGCCAAATGTTCGCAGGAGATTCAAACACCGAAACTTACGTGATGTACAGGTTATCATGAGACCTTGGTAAACAAATGTAAGTTCACGTCACGTGTATAACAATTAGCACATGCATTGTTCTAAAGATGTGTATCGTGTATCTCTCATGCATCGAAGGCCGAATAAAACACACACGTGTGACAATTATTTCAGGTTGGTGCAAAAGATCTGTCCTACCTATCTGTCAAAGTCAACAAGTGCGTCAACAGTTTTGAAGCAGTTCCTATTAGCAGAGATAGTCATCGATGATTTCGTTACTTCAGTGTGAATTCAAAGGCAACCTTCTCCACGTGTGAAAGAGGAGTCCTCAGTCCTCTTTCTTCAAGACCTCCAGGTTTCTAACCTTATTTAAAGACAGAACATAGGCAAGTCTTTTGCAGCAACCAGGTAGTATCATTCATAAGTATTATCAAGCTAATACAAGATGTTGCTTTACAGAGATACTGTTCATTCAAACGCATTCAAAGACGACAAAAGTAACTTGGAAGCACCAGCCAGAACCTACAAGACCTAACAAGATGAAACCGCTGCTTAAAGTGTTATACTCGCTCTGTTGGAGCAACGCTTACTTGATCATGGGCATATGCATGGGCCTGAGTTTCAGTCTACTACTGATACCGATCGACGTTGACAAGCAACACGACATAGCAGAATCTTTTGATCACTCCTCCAATACTCTGGAGGATGTGGACCCTTATGAGCCACGGATAAACACCGACGGTAAACCCCAACAGGTCCTGAAGGCGAGGAAGACGTTCATACGCCCGCGATATTATTCAACGGAGCTCGGTATCAGGGAGAAATTGTTTGTGGGCATTATAACAAGCCGGGAACACCTCCACAGCAGGGACGTGGCGCTGAACAAAACTATCGCCCACATAGTAGATAAAATCCGCTACTTCATCTCTATACCGGAAGGGACCAAGCCGAACGTCTCTTTCCCTGGGATAGTGGGATTCACCGATACGAGAAACGTCCTGAAACCTTTTCACGCCATGAAATATATCATCGATAACTATCTAGAGAACTATGACTATTATTTTTTAGTCAAGGACGTGAGTTACATCAACGCGAGAGGTCTAACGGAATTTGTGAACAAGATAAGCGTGAGCCAAAACGTCCACATAGGTGTACCAAGCGAAATCGAGACCTATTGTTCCCTGGGTAGGTCACGTTCATTTATTTTCAGTTCAAATGTGACGCGAGTTGATCAACAACTAAATCTAAGTTGACTTAATTTACTAACTTAAGCTAACTTCGTTTTCAGAGTCCGGCATTCTGCTGAGCAACTCCGTTATACAGGAGATCAAAAACAATCTAGACTGGTGCGTGAAGAACGCATATTCGGACTCGGACGACGTTAACGTCGGTCGCTGCATTCTTCATTCGACGTCAATGCCGTGCACCGAACGCGCGCAAGGGCAAGACTTCAAGTTTATACGCTTGAAGCCTGCGTTTCACTTCGAGCGCGACTTCGCCGAGCTGGCTGAGCGGACTGACTTCCGCAATTCGTTGTCTGTGTATCCTATCTACGATCATATGCTCGTTTACAAGTTTAACATGTACTTTGCCGCGGTGAGTCTCGAGCTATATTGACTTATGTAATAGGTAATTTCGGATCTTCCAAGTCAGATGAAAAGATTGTATTATTTTATGTCGTCATGATTTCATGAAAAGCAAATTTCGTGAGATTTGATTCTGTGTCTATTGAAGGTTTCGAGTTGTTGCTTCATGTATAACATGTTGCTCTGCAGATTAACTCCATGAAGGTTCACAAGCTGATTGGCGACATACGCAAGGTGATCTCGGAGACTACACATCTGGGCCCGCCGAATCAACGCAACGTATCGTGGCCCATCGGCAATCAACCGGGCAACAGGCCGTCGGGACGTTTCGACGTCCTGCGCTGGTCATGCTTCAACGAGTCTCACGCGTTCTTCGAGACCGACTTCATTAATATCCAAGAGTTGCGCGGCGACACCAAGTCCGGCATCGATTATGTGATCAACGCAGCTGCTAATAGTATTATCAACAAGTACGACAATAAACTGAGCTACAAGAGGCTTCTAAACGGCTATCAGAAATTCGACGCATCCAGGGGCATGGATTACATACTCGACATCGTGTTCAACGAAGTGACTACCGGCAAAGAGGTCAAGAAGCGGATTGAGGTTTGCAAGCCGCTGGGTAAAGTGGAAATTATACCTGTGCCATACGTGACCGAGAACACAAGGATCAACGTGATCGTCGTTATTGACTTGGACAAGAAGCAGGATGCGTTGAATTTCATGGAGCACTATGCGCAAGATTGCATGGAGAAGAAGTACAAGACCTTCCTCATGGTGGTTAGTATGCGATCATCGGAACGCGCGCAATTTTTTCGCATATAACGTCATGTTTATGTTCTGAACTCGCCGTAATTGATGTCGTTACTTGTTGTCTGTTTCCCATGTAGGTGCTCTTGTACAATTTTGACTCGCAGTCAAAGGGCAGAGGCGACGTCTTCTACGAAATAAAAAAGAACATATTGACGTTGAACGAGAAGTATAAAAAGGATCAGTCTAAGATCACGTGGCTTTCGATACGATTGCCGAGCAACGTGACTTCTGTAGACTTCGATCCGATGTTGAAGATCGCCGTGACAGACTTATACGCAAAGAAGTTCTCCTCAGAGAGCCTGATTCTACTCGCGGAGGCGGGAGCAAAGCTGAAGGTGGATTATTTAAACAGAGTGAGTATCCATTATGAAAAGTTTTTCTTCATAAGTCAATGCTATCAACGGTTATTCTTTGCGTGACTATTCAACGATAATTCCTTTGTTGCTAATCAGGTTCGCATGAACACCATTAGTCGTTATCAGATATTCAGTCCGATTCCGTTCATCGAATATCACCCCGACATAATCTACGCGGATGAAGAAGCTCACAACGAGGTAGATGTCAACAGCAATTACGGCAAATACGACGAACAGAACTTCAATAACATTGCATTTTACATCAAGGATTACAACGCAAGTATGTCACACAGACACACACATATGCGCTTTTATTCATTTTTAGATCAGATCAATGCGAAAGATCAAGATTACTTTCTTCTACCGTGCTTCGAGATTAGAAGTTACCGGCTCGAGTCGACTTCTAGGAAAAGTTTTACTTTTCAATTAAAGTTCCCGATAATATCTATAATTAATTGTTTCAGTGCGGCAAACAGTTGAAGCCAACATTCCGCTGACGCGATCTGATAAGGATATCGCGACGCTGCTGAAACTTTCGAAACACAGTCCTGTAACTTCCTTATTTGAGATGTACGTGTCTTTCAGCGATATGCATGTGTTCCGCGCGATCGAGCCGACGCTAAAGATCAAGTATAGAGACGTTAACTGCGAGGACAATTCCAACGATAATATTTATAAGAGCTGTCTTAAATTAAAAAATAGTCACTTGGGTAAGCGTAGCCAGCTAGCTAGACTAATATTAGATTATCAAAGCTACCATACGTAAGGGAACAGAAGTCGCAGTATTAAATCAGTATACATATTTGAATCATAATTGCACATAATTAAGAGTAAGCATGTATTGTGTAATAAATAATTTATTATATTATTTATTATATATATATTTTTTTATAGTAGCAAATATATTAAAGAGAAATAAATTGTGTAATGACAATATCAAAAATAAATATATTGAATAATATACAAAGATTTCACTCCCCCTTTCCTTGGATGACTTCATGTCACGCCATTTTTGCGACCAAATATGAGATATGTAAAAGGATTTTGGAATAATATGACTCCTTTTCATTCTGCATAAGAACTTTTTAGCTGCACTCTCTACATTTGTTTTGCAATCTTTCTTTCACACGTCATGTACTGATTACACAAATGTGTAATTTAAGTACAAAAGATGTGATATGGTGCAGCTAAAAAGACAAACCAATATACATAATAACTGTTTTATATTAATAATCATCACGTTAATAATCACGATCTATGTATTGATAGTGTATTGATTCTATCAACATTTTACTATTTATCACTATCAGATTCTGACTCAGACAGTTGGAGATCTTCATTCAAAAAGTTGTCTGACATAAGTGGCGTAACAATTGATGTTGAATTGGCGCTACTTAGAACGTCTAGAAGAATATAACATTATTTAAGTATTAATGTATGCACAGAGAGCAACTTATCAAAAATTATGAAATGATATATACGAAAAATAGTATGCAATATATTTTTTTCTTATACTTCAACATATTTTCTACATACCAGTTGGTGCCATCGGTACGGGAATGTTCTCCGTATCGGAATCGCTGTCCGAACTGTCAGAACTTGAACTGCTCGAACTCGAGTCGCTTAACGCACCTTCGTCACTGTTTAAGGAAGCTGGTTTCATATTTGACATTGCAACAGGTGGTGGAGATACTCTCACTGGTGCAGACGAATACGAAGGTATTATAGGAGTTGACAATGCAAAATCATCAATTTCAGAGCCAATCATTGGTAAACTAGCCAAGGTTGATTGTGTATTTGACGACTGTGCAGGTGAACAACTGAAATCAAACATGCAATATTTTTAAGATATTATGAGATGAGATTTATAAATGTACATATAATATAATATTTTCAATAAAAATAATTATTTTCTCTGTGCTAATATTTTATATATAGTTTCTTATTGAAAAAATAAAAGGCAGAATAAAGACTTTTCTCCTTTATGTCAAATATGTATTATAAATTATTTATATTCAATATGTTTGATGGTATACACCTGCTGGATGCCTGGTGTGGAGGACTCTGTCCCTTTGGATGCAACTGAACAAAAGGTTCTCTCTTTGTCCCGCTGATAACTTTTGTCCTCCCATTTAACCTCCCATGTGTAGGACTCCTCTTATGCTCAACAGGTGTTGCAGGTCTACCATTGTTATTATTTCCATTGGAAACTCCTAAAAATTGCTTAGCTGTTGGCTCCATTCTGCAAGAAATAAAATTGCCAATGAAACTTTGCAGCATACTTATAATCAAGTACAATTGCAAATAACTACCAATATATTCTATTGCCATTATTTTTCATAACTTAGCAATAATAAGCACCTTGTTTTCTTAACTTGAATATTTGCTGTCAACTTCTCCAAAATGAACTCTCCTGTAGTTTTGTCGATAATGAGAACACATTCTTTATGATGAGGTCTTTGAGAACCTTTGAATACAGTATGTGGAGTACCAGCTCCATCTAAATGAGGAACTGTAACCGTCATTGTATTGTCTGCTCCTGCATCAACATTAGCCATTTTTGAAACATCAACGCTTGCAGGTTTAAAGTCATCTGAAAGAGTGACATATGTAATTAATATTTATAGACTGATGTATGTTCTCTTCATTGCCAAATCTGGAAAGATCTTGGTTCAGGATTTATTTAATCTCCAATCAAAAAGTATGAAAGTGGAAAGTATAAGTTAACTATTTCTCTGTAATTTATTGTATATGCTCACAAATAGTTTACTCAGTTAATTATAACCAATTATGTGGATTCTGTTACAATTCTTTTCAGAAATTAGAAAAACTGCTCGGTTAAAGACAATTTTAGGTACAAAAATTATATATGTCCTCTTAATACTCTAAATATTCCCAACATCATTTCAATTCTAAGAGCTTGCAAAACTTTTCGATTCTTTTCGAAGGAGATTATTCTTCATAGATAAGTCGCTTCAAAGACCAATTTCTACTATCGATGAAGCGAGTGTTGCGACATAAAATTCTATCTCCAAACTGCTTACATTTCAAGGTGTGAAACGCTGTCGAGCTGTTGCTCGTGAAAGTCGATCCTAGCTTAAGTTCACGGACCTCAGATCCCAATCCTAGTCGCTCGGCCATGCTCGGTTCGCGGCCTTGGTAGCTGTGCTCGGACATTGTTGAAGTGATTAACCTACTCATATTGAACTGCAATTGTACAAGACACTCGTTGTTATTCGAAACGATTCAGTCTAAATGTGATGCCTGTTAATTCCATGAGTCGAAGAACAGCTTCGAGTATTGTCGTTGCGTTAAAATATGGTAATCACGGCGACGATGCCTTCCACGCGATCATCCGTCGAAACATAAAGAAATTCTCGAAGACCTACCTGAACCTGACTCGTAAACAGTGGTTGCATCCGGAATACACAATACGTGCATTCAATAGCAAAATCGTTCACTAAGCGCTCAGTGATCTCCTGTATTTCATTGGCCGCGTTCAGTAGACTCAACAGTTGGACAACATTACTAGATTTTCCACCGAATCTCGCTCCTGATTGGTCAATACTTCTGGGTCTATGCAGAATCTAAAAGAATACTCCAATCACAAACAATAATCACTAAGCGCTCTCTGATCACTTTGGCTGTATTCAGTATTACAACCACTCATTGAACGCTCAGTGAGCTCTTGCATCTGATTGGTAGATATAATATTATAATATAATATAATATATATTATAATATAATATATACATACACAAATATATATACATGTCCAAAAAACATTTTAGAAATATGATATCTCTAAAATGTTATTCGGACATTGTATATGTGTGGATATAAGCTATATTATCATTTAAACAAAAAATCACAATGACTTCAAAATGAGTAACAAAAGACTATAAAAACTCACTTTGTAATCATGATTAGATCATTTTCTTGTCATTTTGATGTCCCTTTGACGTCACTTTGATGTTATTGTGACTATTTTAATGTACAGTCGTAGACAGAAAGGTTGTCAGGTTTTTTATGTGAGTTTCAGAACGCATTCTGTCTTGACGAGAATGAGAACTTCTGTTCTGACACGTCTGCGCAGTCATCGATTGAAGAATAGAGGAATCATATATTAACAAAAATTAAAAATTTCTTACCATGCTCTGCTTATATTCTTTTTATTTTGTTTCGTATTTGCGACAATATTGGATGCCCGAGCCTCTTTTTTTATGTCAAATTTATCGTTGATATATTTTCTTAAATGACATATTTAAATGACATATCGAATGACATCATCCTGATTTGTCTTAAAATGACTTTCTTTTTATATCATAATTATATTATTATAATTTTTTGTTTTACCTGAGGTGTTGATAAGGCAATAATTTTTTTGTCATATTCAAATCTGACTATTAGACCAGATATAAACATTGTTAATACTGAAATTAATATTAACAAAGTATTTACTTCATTATATATTAAAAATTTATAATATTTATTTCAAAAATTAAAATTAAATTTATTTCACTACAATTGGTCTGTTCTTTGTAGCTGCACTGCAGAATTAGTGTAATAAGCAAGAGTGAGAAAACCAATATTTCTCACTTCAACTTATTGCACCAGTTCAATAGTGCAGCTATAAAAAACAGACCAAATCATATAAGGTGTTTACTTCTAGCAGAGAGGAAGCTGAGAGCGGCCAACACGGCGTTTTCGGCGACACCGATTTTTCGCACTGGGAATGGGCACTATCTGCATCCATTTTGAGAGGGGAACTACGATGCTACAACCACTTTTAGGTCTCGACGGTAAAACCTGCATCTGGTGGCTGTCCGTGCTACATCAACTTTCAGGCGGTTTATTTCCGTGCTACAACCATAATAGCGTACTTGACAAGCACGGTCTCGAGCAGTGTTATGCATTTGTAACATGAATTAACATGTTAACATGCACAAAAAAAAAAGAAGAATTGAGATTGTATATGATTAATATCATGAAGATAATATACGATTTATATCGACATATAAATATATGATAATAAGATAATATTTTGTGTGTACCCAAAATTATTTTTCCAAAATATTTCAGCGTTACGTTAGTATTTATTTATACTCCGGCAGGCCTTTTTTAGCGCAATTGTGTCCGTGTGCATGTGTTGCATTGAAAGTGTGCGTGATGTACGTGTGCATATACGTACAGGTACACACACGCACGCACACACACACACACACACACACACACACACACACACACACACACACACACACACACACACATACACACACGCACACACACACACACACACACACACACACACACACACACACACACACGCACAAACACACACACACACACACACACACACGCACACACGCACACACGCACACATACACACACTTTAATTTGGTGCCAGAACCAGGCCTGTATCTCTAACCGTTTAGGAGATATCGAAGATTAAAGTTTTCCAACATTTCTCCGTTGATATCTCCGCTTCTACTGGGAGTAGAGAGTCGCCACATACGGCAAAATGTAGGGTTTTGAAAGGACTTTAATTTGGTACCAGAGCCAGGCCGGTATCTCTAACCGTTTAGAAGATATCGAAGGTTAAAGTTTTACAGCCATTCTCCGTCGATATCCAGCCTTCCTCCGTCGATATCTCCGCTTCTACTGGGAGTACAGAGTCGTCCACGTAGTCGAAAATGTAGGGTTTTGAGAGGACTTTAATTTGGTACCAGAGCCAGGCCTGTATCTCTAACCGTTTAGGAGATATCGAAGGTTAAAGTTTTCCAACCTTTCTCCGTCGATATCCAGTCTTCATCCGTCGATATCTCCGCTTCTACTGGGAGTAGAGGGTCGTTCATGTAGTCCAAAATGTAGGGTTTTGAAGGGCTTTAATTTGGTACCTGTCCGAAGCCTGTATCTCTAACCGTTTAGGAGATATCGAAGGTTAAAGTTTCTAACCTTTCTCCGTCGATATCCAGCCTTCATCCGTCGATATCTCCGCTTCTACTGGGAGTAGAGAGTCGCCATGTAGTCCAAAATGTAGGGTTTTGAAAGGGCTTTAATTTGGTACCTGTCCGAAGCCTGTATCTCTAACCGTTTAGGAGATATCGAAGGTTAAGTTTTCCAACCTTTCTCCGTCGATATCTCCGCTTCTACTGGGAGTAGAGAGTCGTCATGTAGTCCAAAATGTAGGGTTTTGAAAGGGCTTTAATTTGGTACCTGTCCGAAGCCTGTATCTCTAACCGTTTAGGAGATATCGAAGTTTAAAGTTTCCAACCTTTCCCGTCGATATCCAGCCTTCATCCGTCGATATCTCCGCTTCTACTGGGAGTAGAGAGTCGTCCATGTAGTCCAAAATGTAGGTTTTGAAAGGGCTTTAATTTGGTACCTGTCCGAAGCCTGTATCTCTAACCGTTTAGGAGATATCGAAGGTTAAATTTTCCAACCTTTCTCCGTCGATATCTCCGCTTCTACTGGGAGTAGAGGTCGTCATGTAGTCCAAAATGTAGGGTTTTGAAAGGGCTTTAATTTGGTACCTGTCCGAAGCTGTATCTCTAACCGTTTAGGAGATATCGAAGTTTAAAGATTTCCAACCTTTCACCGTCGATATCCAGCCTTCATCCGTCGATATCTCCGCTTCTACTGGGAGTAGAGAGTCGTCCATGTAGTCCAAAATGTAGGGTTTTGAAAGGGCTTTAATTTGGTACCTGTCCGAAGCCTGTATCTCTAACCGTTTAGGAGATATCGAAGGTTAAAGTTTTCCAACCTTTCTCCGTCGATATCTCCGCTTCTACTGGGAGTAGAGAGTCGTCATGTAGTCCAAATGTAGGGTTTTGAAAGGGCTTTAATTTGGTACCTGTCCGAAGCCTGTATCTCTAACCGTTTAGGAGATATCGAAGGTTAAAGTTTTCAACCTTTCTCCGTCGATATCCAGCCTTCATCCGTCGATATCTCCGCTTCTACTGGGAGTAGAGGTCGTCATTGTAGTCCAAAATGTAGGGTTTTGAAAGGGCTTTAATTTGGTACCTGTCCGAAGCCTGTATCTCTAACCGTTTAGGAGATATCGAAGGTTAAAGTTTTCCAACCTTTCTCCGTCGATATCTCCGCTTCTACTGGGAGTAGAGAGTCGTCATGTAGTCCAAAATGTAGGGTTTTGAAAGGGCTTTAATTTGGTACCTGTCCGAAGCCTGTATCTCTAACCGTTTAGGAGATATCGAAGGTTAAAGTTTTCCAACCTTTCTCCGTCGATATCCAGCCTTCATCCGTCGATATCTCCGCTTCTACTGGGAGTAGAGGGTCGTCATTGTAGTCCAAAATGTAGGGTTTTGAAAGGGCTTTAATTTGGTACCTGTCCGAAGCCTGTATCTCTAACCGTTTAGGAGATATCGAAGTTAAAGTTTCCAACCTTTCTCCGTCGATATCCAGCCTTCATCCGTCGATATCTCCGCTTCTATTGGGAGTAGAGGGTCGTCATTGTAGTCCAAAATGTAGGGTTTTGAAGGGCTTTAATTTGGTACCTGTCCGAAGCCTGTATCTCTAACCGTTTAGGAGATATCGAAGTTTAAAGTTTCTAACCTTTCTCCGTCGATATCCAGCCTTCATCCGTCGATATCTCCGCTTCTACTGGGAGTAGAGAGTCGTCATGTAGTCCAAAATGTAGGGTTTTGAAAGGGCTTTAATTTGGTACCTGTCCGAAGCCTGTATCTCTAACCGTTTAGGAGATATCGAAAGTTAAAGATTTCCAACCTTTCTCCGTCGATATCTCCGCTTCTACTGGGAGTAGAGAGTCGTCATTGTAGTCCAAAATGTAGGGTTTTGAAAGGGCTTTAATTTGGTACCTGTCCGAAGCCTGTATCTCTAACCGTTTAGGAGATATCGAAGTTTAAAGATTTCTAACCTTTCTCCGTCGATATCCAGCCTTCATCCGTCGATATCTCCGCTTCTACTGGGAGTAGAGAGTCGTCCATGTAGTCCAAAATGTAGGGTTTTGAAAGGGCTTTAATTTGGTACCTGTCCGAAGCCTGTATCTCTAACCGTTTAGGAGATATCGAAGGTTAGAAAACTTTAACCTTTCTCCGTCGATATCCAGCCTTCATCCGTCGATATCTCCGCTTCTACTGGGAGTAGAGAGTCGTCCATGTAGTCCAAAATGTAGGGTTTTGAAAGGGCTTTAATTTGGTACCTGTCCGAAGCCTGTATCTCTAACCGTTTAGGAGATATCGAAGGTTAAGATTTCCAACCTTTCTCCGTCGATATCTCCGCTTCTACTGGGAGTAGAGAGTCGTCATGTAGTCCAAAATGTAGGGTTTTGAAAGGGCTTTAATTTGGTACCTGTCCGAAGCCTGTATCTCTAACCGTTTAGGAGATATCGAAGGTTAAAGTTTTCTAACCTTTCTCCGTCGATATCCAGCCTTCATCCGTCGATATCTCCGCTTCTACTGGGAGTAGAGAGTCGTCCATGTAGTCCAAA